CACACGGCCGTAGGAGGGAGTGAGCCTTAGCTCCAGCTTACAGGTGAGGAGGCCGAGGCACAGCACAGGGATGAGCTGCATAGCAGCGAGTAAGGTCTGCCTCAGCTCTCTGCAGGGCCCCTGGACCAGTCTGGGGTCTGCGTCTCCCACCTTGACCTCCTGCTTTGATGGGCTCTCTCCTCAGCCAGGAGCTGCCTCTGCTCGACCGAGGGCAGGAGCTAAAAGTGTGTCAGGCCTCCCCTGGTCCTTGGCCTCCTTCCCAGGGAGCATGGGGGTAGCTCTGGCTCGCCAGCACATGCCAAAATGATCTCTTCCACTCATCAACGGGCAGATGTGTGTAAACGCCAGACCTGGATCACGTCCTGACTGCCAGGTTTTTGCTGGAGATGGGCCACCCCAGGCAGGCTGCTTTTCCCAGGATGTGGGACTCAGATCATTTTGGATGTAGGTTTTTATTGAGCACTTACTGGGTACCAGGTGCCAGACTAGGTTCTTCACCTTCATTATCTCATTTAAGCCTTGGACTGGCTCCGTAGAGTGGGTGCCGTGTTCACCATTTCACAGATGAGGAAGCTGAGGCCCAGAGAGGCTAAAACCTTGCCCAGAGTCACACAGTGAGTAGGTAGCAGGATGGGTGTTCTAGCTTCTCATCCTCCCTTGGGCCTTGGGTTTTATGTGTTAGCTCCAGATTCAAGACCATTCTTGTCTTGGCCAGTGAGAAGGGTGAGGGGGTATTTGAGCTGGAATTTAACGGGAGTTATTAAAGGCTAAAACAGGAAGGGATCAACAACAACAAAAAATACTAACTTACAAAGTCAAGGTGGGAGGGGGCATTTTGGTCATAGGAACTCATTTAAAAAGGCTTTAGTTGTGAGCTGGCAAGGCAATGGAAGGAGTCGTGGGGCTACTCCCAAAGCGAATGACGTTGTCGGCTGAATTCACCGAGGTGTTACACTGAAACAAGGAAGGGGATGTTCCCATCCTGGCTCATGCTAGATAAAACACACCAGAGGAGAAAACATGGCATACTGGGAATCACCAAAATGGAAACTTGCCGACTGGAGGTGGCCGGGCTAAGAGCCCCTGGGCCCCTGATGAGGCGCTCTTAGAACAGAGAACGGCAGGCTCCCAGGAGCTAGTGGAACCAGAATCTTAAGAGTGCAAACCGCTATGGGGAAGAGGGAGCTTCACCGAGAGCCAAGAAGGACGATTATGCTCTGGGCCAGGAAGAACCTTCTGCAGATCTGTGGGACCCAGCCTCATTGGGAGGCAGTGCGCCCCCACAGGTGGACAGGGGCAGAGTCCAGCATCTGGCCAGGATGTCACAGGGATTTATTCACTTCCGCTTCTGATTCAGGGCACCAGCACTTTTCAAGCCTCTCAGAGTCACAGAAGACGCAGAAGAACATGGCACCAGCCTCAGAGCTGCAGTCGGACTGGACTTCTCAGGGCAGGACAGGGCACGCTGGCTCTGGGAGCAATGTCCCCAGACACCTGCAGAGGACTTGAGCCATTCTGGGCTGGCTGTCCCTGTGTGTGTGACTCAGGCTTTCCTGCTCGGTCTCGTTTTCTCTCTGTCACTCTTCAAGGTGTCAGGGCTGCTGGCACGATCCCTGCCTTGGAACTGGGGACTGTGAGGGCAAGGCCACTAACTGGCCTGCCTGGGGTCTCATCCCTGTGGGAGGGGATAGAAACCCTCTTAGCACTTCCCTTCACAGTCCCATGAGTAACGCTGCTCTCTGCTTCCCCTCAGGGATTCCCTGGAGACATCGGCCCCCCTGGGGACAATGGCCCAGAAGGCACCAAGGTGAATCCCTGCCCACGGCAACTCCAGGGGGAGAAAGCAGGCAGCTCTGTGGAGACCACGGGCCTCCAGGATGGGCTCTCTGGTTTGGAGGTAGCCTGCCGCGGAGACCGAGGTGCCGCCTCTCAGCCCCTTTCTGTTCTCTTCTCTCCAGGGAAAACCTGGAGCTCGAGGCCTGCCTGGACCCCGTGGGCAGCTGGGTCCCGAGGTGAGACTGCCTGGCCCTACCCTCTGCCTGTCCTCCACTGCCCATCCTGGCCTGCTTGCCCCCTCCAGCAGGCTCTGTCCTGGGTACTGAAGGCCCTAGCTGGGGGCTGGAGTCCCCTCAGCCGGGACACAACCCTCACCTGCCTCAGACACCCTCCAGCTCGTCCCTTACAGCCCAACCCTGTGACCCTTGCAGGGACCTTCTCTGGCCTGGCTTGGCAGGTACAGACGGGGCCACTGAGACCTGGAGAGGTAGATACTCTGCTGGGTCCCCAGCAGCCAAGGCCCTGATTTGAACTCAGCTCTGCATGTACCCAAAGCCCATGACATAGGCCCATGGTGTTAATATCTGTGCTCCTGAGAGCTGCCTAGCACACCCCCACCCTCAGATTACAGAACGCGCACAGCTCGTAAGTGGCAGAGTGAAGATTGACTTTTTTACTTGCCTTTGATGAGGAGAGTTGAGAAGGGTCTCTGCAGGCTTGCTGAGCACTCCTCGGCAGGCCTCAGCTCTGCCCTGTGCATGAAGCCCTCCTGCCCCTGCCTTCCCCCACCACCTCACCACTCTACGGAGCTCAAGCCCCAGGCTCCCATGACACACAGCCCCGGGGGAGGGGGGCAGAGGAGGAGGCCCAGACTCACCACGACCACAGACAGGCATCCAGCTGACACCAGTCCCTGCTCAGGCTGCTTCTGGGTCTGGCGAGGTCCCAGCGCTGGGTCTGGGAACTGCTGTGTGGGGTTGCTTTCCTGGAAGCTGGAAAAGAGGAGTTGGAGGGGGTGGCCCTGGCATGCCAAAAGGGCCAGTGTGGAGGTTGCCCAGGCCTGTGGGAGTCTGGAGCAACCCTTGGGCCAGAAGTGGGAAGGGAGAGGGAGGAGGGCGGGTAGTAGCCACATGCTTCTGTCCGCACTCGCATTAGCACCCAAGAAAACCCTTGAGGTGCTGCCACTTGCACCGTCTCCATCCACCATTCGGTCACTCATTCACTCGTTTGCCAAATAGCCACTAGACACGGGGCCATCTGAGTAATGCTTGGGGCTGGAGCGTAGTTTTACGAAAGAGTTGGCATCTTCGCAGTCGTCCAGGAATGTGGCTGAAGCCAGCCGCATTCTTGAGGGTAATCTCCACCCTGGGGAAACTGAGGCACAGCAAGGCTAATCTCTGACAGGGAGTAAATGGCAGAGCTCAGGACAGCATCTGTATCTTTTTTTTTTTAAGTTATTTTTATTTATCTATTTCCTCCATGAGTGAGAGAGACAGAGACAGATGGACAGGTAGAGACATTACTCCCAACAGGGTCTTCATGCCACCATCACAATCCACCCCAGCCTCAGCCGGCCCCAGGTCATGGGCATGCCCGTGCCTGGTATGCTCAGGGAAGTCCCCAGACATGAACCCGGGACCTTCCCACCTGAGTCAGCCTTGCAGAGTGTAGTGTTTCCCCCTGTGCCACCGTCTAGCCCCTGGAGTTCTGATCTCGGGGCTGCGGTCTGAGGCATGCAATGGGGCTGTGAGCCCAGGGGCCCCGTTCACCAGATGTCACCACCGTGTGGGCCTGACTGTGGAGCCCCCGCTCTGGTGGGGCCAGGCAGGTGAGCCATGAGCACCACCTCTCTTTGTCCAAGGGGGTGCTCCTCTGCCCATCCCTTTCCCTCTTTGCAAGGCACATCCTCCAAGGGTCCCACCAGTGTGACTTTCTCTTTTTTCCTCTCTCGTGTCTCCTGACTCTAGGGAGACGAAGGACCCATGGGGCCACCAGGGGCCCCTGGCTTGGAGGTGAGTGTCGCTGGCCTGGGGGAGGTGGGATTTGCTGGAACTGAGCCAGCTGTGCACCAAAAGGGCCACATCTGGCTAGTGCTGCAGAGATAAGTATTCGGGGATGGCCTTGGCCAACCAGAGAAAGCTAGGGGAGACCTCAAAGGGGGAGAGGCAAGAGGCCAGAAACTGGCTGACCGTCATTGCCTGTGAACTTCGAAAAGTTCCCGAACAGATGGAATTAAAGTCCGGGTTTCATCTGCTGCAAAATAATGAGACCCCGTATAGTGTCTGCGACATCTGCATTCTCCACGAACGTTCTGACGGCCCCTTGTCCGAGTTGGGGGTTTTATGTTCCTTTCCTCACTTGCTTTTCCCGTGAGAGAGGCACTGCTCTTCTTAGTATCATTAGAGAGGAAAGAAATGAGGCTCAGTTAGTAAAGGTGTTAGCCCAATATCTCACAGCGAGAAAGTGGGGGTGTCCTGCCTAGAACCTCAGCCCAAGTTCTTTCTACTGCCCTGAGCAGGTCACTAGTCCACACCCCCCGCTCCACCTTCATCTCAGCAACTGCAGAAACCAGCACTTCCAGGTCCTCTGTTCTCAAGATCTTATGTATATATACAGGGAGAGACAGAGAGAGAGAAAGTGAAAAGTCACCCCTCCAGGGAGATGGCCATGCCACAATCCCTTCTCTTCTATTCTCCTCTTGGGATTTTGGGCATGCACACATATGCACCCAGAGTGAGTTTTAAACTGCCAGGTCCAGGACTCGAACTGTGGTTGATGACTTTGTGGGAGTTAAGCAATGTACCCATTACGCCATCTGCTGGCCCCATGGTTTCTTATATTGTTAAAAATCATTGAGGATCCACAGGGTTTTTGTGTGGGTTCCATCTCTTGGTATTAGTCATTAAATATATGTTAAATGTATTTATTAGCTCATTGACAGTGAATAATAAGCCCATCTCATGTAACAGAAAATGTTTTGTTAATTTTGCCCAAAATCACCATGTTTTCCAAAGCACGATACTCGAGTAGAAAGAGTGGCGTCGTCTCTCCACGTTTGCAGACCCCTTCGCAGTCCGGCCTAATAGCAGCCCGCTAGGTTCTCAGCTCTGCCTCTGCATTCAGTCGTTGCCGGCAGGACTTGTCTTTTCTGGAAAATTCTGCTTACTCTTATGAGAATAACAGTGACAAAGGCAAATGACATCTTAGTGCTATGAAAATGGTTTCGACCTTGTAAACCTCCTAAAGGGTCAGGGACCCCCGGAGTCCCTCAGCCACACTTCAGGGACCACTAGCATAAAGTCTCCATGCCCCCATGGCCCTGATACTCTGCTAAACTCCTTCCCTTTCCTCACTCCTTGAAAGCAGGTGTCATCATTCCCCTGTACAAAAGACAAGTCCAGCCCAGGGAGGTCACATAGTTGGAAACCCTCCCTGTATTCCAGGACAGCTGGCTTCCTGGTGGCATCAGGGTACTGTGACCCTTCCCAGCCCCTGGGGACCCTCTACCAGGTTGATGGCGCTCCCTAGCATCCCAGCAACGCTGCCCTGGCCCAGTTTTCTCACCTATCTTTCCGTTGCAGGGCCAGCCTGGCAGGAAGGGGTTTCCTGGGAGACCTGGCCCGGATGGCTTGAAGGTGAGCGGACCTGCGGATGCCCGGGGTGGTGGTGGGGTGTTTAATAGACTAAGGCTTCAGGACAAGCCTTGAGTCCCACAGTTGTGAAAAGTCAGAAAGAAACCATCCTCATTTATCACAAAGTATTGGTAACAATAAAAACGACCAGGTATGACCTAAATATTGAACAGCGGGGGATAGTTTGTATCACGGGATACAGCGCACCCACCCGAGATGCTGTTGCAGAACATTGGACAAGATGGGAAGGCACCTGTGGGCGGGTCGTGGTGGGAAGCAGGTCGTCAAACAGAAGGTGAACAGGCGAGCCTGTTGCGGGGGCCGGCCGCCGCCATTCCTGTGTGCACCGAGTGGAGGCTGGACATTGCAATGACAGGAGGTTCTCATGTTCTTCTCTGGGCCTCTGGTTTTCCCCATGCACACAACGAACATGTACTGTATTTGCTAACAGGGTATATATTTTTTAAGTTCTCAAATAAGAATTGGCCCAGGGTAGAAGAGGAAAGATCCTCAACACATGACCCGGTGGTTTTCCAAGGACTCCCCTGCAGGGTTTGGGTTTCCCCAGCTATTCTGGGGAGAGCTCACTGGGCCCACTTTACAGACGAGCACATCCTCAAGGGGCCAGAGCGGAGTGGGGAGCCCTCCCTTCAGGGGCGGTGGACCATGGATCTGTTCTGGGCCCTCCGATTTTGTGAGTGTGAGGTCTGGGAGAGGAGCTGAAGGGGAGGACGAGGCTCCAACCAGGAACGCGGGGAGCCACGCTGTGTTGGAGCCAAACCCCTGGCTAGTTGGAGCCCACGTCCTGCCCTCTGCGGTCTTGGCCTCTCTCCCTCCATACCAGTGTGTTTCTGTGGTGGGAGCGGTGACAGTCTGGATGGATTTATCCCACGGTCCTGCTTGCCTGGTCCAGCTTACGCTGTGGGGAGACCAGGGCAGCTGTGGCCATTTAAAGGGCATCCCCCTCAGCACCCCCACCCCCACGTGGGAGAGAACCAACAGCCAAGGCCAACATGCAAGCCAGAAATGACCTTAAAGACAAATGAGTCTGACCTCCCTTCTTCATAGCGGTGAGCACTGAGGAGACCCACCCAGGCCACCATGAGCAGGGGCAGAGCCTGGTGGAGTGGGGTCTAGGACCCAGGCGTCGTGACGCCCCAGTTTCCTGCTTTTCCTGGAGTGAGGTGGCCTGATGCATGGTCATGGGCCTTCTAATCAGGCAGACCAAGCTTCAGTTCTATCCCTACCTTGCTGTGTGACCTCAGCCCTGTCATTTCACTTCTCTGGGCCTCAGTTCTCACCTCCACGAACTGCAGTGGGCTGCCGAAGGACCCAAATGAGCTCTCGGGGTCAGAGTGCCGAGTAATTTGCCAAGGGCCCACGAGAAGAAGTGTGCCGTGAGAGTCACGCCCGGAGCCAGAGATTCTATCCCAGTGCCCCTTTGTCACTGCCGTTAGTTTGGGGTTGCCAAGACCAGATTCTTGAGTTGAAGTTCCTGGTCCATCTTTGCTGATGGCAACTAAGATAAGAGGCCTGGACTCCATCTCCTGTCCCAGTTGACATTCCTCGTTGTTGCTTCACAGGGGGAGCCAGGGAATCCTGGACGACCAGGGCCCGTGGGCGAGCAGGTGAGTTAGCGACACGTCTATACACAGTGGGCCATCCACTGAACACCGTCCACTGTGCCAAGGCCTTTGCTAAGCACCTGACATGCACCTCACTGAATTCTCAGAGTAGCTTCAGAGACGGGCTTGACCCACTCCCTGTTCCTCTGAGGTTGACAGGACTCTAGAAAGGTGAAGTCTCTGAAGGAAAAGCCGTGAGCCCCAGTCACCATGGCCGGGCTCTGCACTGTTGTTTTGGTCCTTGGCCTGAAGAGGCTACACGATTTTGCTCCCAGAACATTAACTGGACAAACTCTGACGACCATTGCCTATGCTCCCCTTGGCTCGTAGCTCAGGAAGCCCGAAGCCAGAAAAGCGTAACCACTTGCCAGGGGCTCTTGCTCCAGGCATCCCTAAATTATAAAGAAAATGAAATTTAAACCAGCGGCTCTGGCTAGTTGGGAAGCTAGGCTAAGGTCTGAGGGAGAGAGAGGGTTGCAACTAGTCATTAAGAAGGTGGTGGGAGGCCCAGTCGTGGTGGCGCTCACTGCTAAGATGCTTGCTCCACAGGCTAGGACCACGTGGGAGGCCTGGCTGGACCCAACCTAGAGGCCAGGCATGGTGGTGTGGGCCTGCAGTCCCAGAGACTCGGGGAGGTTGAGGCAGGAGGGTAGTGACAGTGAGACCCTGTCTCCCGACATAGGAGACTTAAAGATCAGACCAAAGTCCAGAGAGGCAGTGCTGCGTGCTGGGTGACAGGACAGCTTCTGTCCCTCCTCCCAGCCCAGAGCTTCCTGGAAGTTGCACCGCTGGGCTCAGAGGTAAAAGACTGGCACCCTTCTCCACTCCTTTAAATAAGGACCCTGCCCAGAAGCCGGCAGTGGGGATGATGCTGGGAGCCCAGGAGGACTGGACTGTACCAGGAAGCGCCGTGAGTGGCGTGAGAGTCGCACACGATGGGCTTCCTTACCAGGCCGGCAACATCTGCTGGGGGGAAGACAGGAATGAAAGCAGAGGGAGGCCTGGATTTTTGAACTCCTTCCAGTGTCATTCGAGCGCATTCTGTGGGAAGCCCGGGAGTTTGGAAAGGCTGCTGTGGCCTGGATACATTTCCTGATTGGAAAAATTAAAAAAGAATATGATCAGCAAATTCAATTTCATAGTTATGTTAATGGTAGGGCCCTCAGGAAATAGATACTCAGAATCCTAGCACGTCAGGGCACAGGGGGTCCTTGGGAATCACTCGGTATACCTGGGGGCTCTAACTCGGTTCCTTTGCCAGGGTGGTGAAGCCCAAGGACCCCTCTCAGATGAAAGGTTTTAGATGCATAAGTTAAAAAAAAAAAAAAGGTTATAAAGAAATCCAATTATATTGAAATGCAATTATGACAGTATGTTAAAATGTGATAGACTCATATGTGCTGCTTTATGAAGGCATTAAATCAGGAGTTCTGGCAGCATACCCCGGTTCCGAAGTGGTGACAAATCGTGTTGTTTTGAGATCTCTGTAGCAATGACTCTGAAATAGCACGTAACTGGGACAGTCACAGGTATTGGGAATGCTACTGGGTGTGTTGCCTATATTCACATGCGAAGAAAATGCTAAATTAGAGGGTGCATCATGGAAGCTACAGTTGTCTATTTTTTCCATTCAAGTTCGTGGACCCTCTGAATTTCCATAGAGCCTTACAGAGAGGCTAACCCCCCTGGATTCTAGTTCATGCTGGCAATCTGGGATTCAAGGAGGAGAAACTGGTGTGGCCAAGGTGACCAAGCAGGGTAGGGGGAGGGCTGGGGCCAAGAGAGGTAAGACCCCTACCTGGGCAGCCCTGGTTCACATGGCTGCCAGGATCATGGCAGGAGAGAGAGCTGTCCAAGCCGAGAGGCGCAGCTGGAACCCTGTGGCAGTGGGACACCCTGGTGTGCCGCTCAGACCTTGGCCCTGGCCCTGTGCGGTCACCACAGGCATTTCCTGTTCACGGCAGAAGCAGAGGATCCCCAGGAAAGAGCTCTGAAGCTCACGCCTTGAACCCCTTATCATCACAGCGATGGCCGCGCTTCTCCACCACCTGTTCAGTGCCTGTGCCAGACTGTGAGCGAGCACGTCTCACCCTGGGCGGGCTCGTTATCCCCATTTGGCTCTGAGAGGTTAGGTAACTCATCCACAAGATCTTGCAGGCAGTAACACTAAAATGGGCAGGGCCGAGACTGACACCTAAGTCTGCTGGCTTCCCAAGACCTGCCCTGGGGGCTGGGAAACCCCACCTCCTGAGCCCTCGCTCTACCTAATGCATTTGCCAGCCTCTGTCCTAGGTGCTGGGCACAAGGCTTGGGCCTTAAGAAGCTCTATCCAGGAACCAGCAGTTGGTGTAATGGCTATGTTGCTGGATTCCTATGTAGTCAAGTCCCGGACCCAGTGGCTTAAACTCACACTGCGTGTGTGTGCGTGTGTGCCCAAGATCCAGAGAAGAGAATGGAGGAGAAGGGATTGCAGCATGGCTATTCCTCCTAGGGGGTGATTTCTTGCTTTCTGTCTCTCTGTCTCTCTCTCTTTCTGGTGAGCGCACGTACCCTATAGCAAAAACCTCTTTAAAAAAAAAAAGAAGAAGAAG